AACCGTTTGAGAGGATGAAACGCTGACTTATACATGAGATGACCCAGAATGTACTGTGCTGCAAGTCGCCGTTAGGCGTTCAGGACGGCGATATTCTTGATGCAATTGACATGGCTCATTCGAAAGAAAGTGATCAACAACGAGTTTTAGTCATTACACATTTTTATCACATATTCAACCTTTAAGTTCATTGCTCCAAACTTCATACTTCTTTGTTAAAATTCACGACGCTAAAATCGTTAGGAATTTGGATCGAGTCTAGTAGATAGCCCATTCCCATGAGCCCTCCTTATCGTTTTGACCTTTGAGATTTATGATGTTGTGTTTTCAGCAGAAAGGTGAGAATATGCGAGCTGATGGTGCTACAAGCTCCATGCGTACGTTTGTTCGCCACCTTAGCCAGTCTTGTGATATATTTCGAGTACCAGGACAAGGGTTTAATGTGAGTTATCCAGACTACATGAGATGTTATTTGCGCTCAAGAATCGCTTTCAGACCTTTGAAAGTCCTCGATTTTATCACTCTTCCATCATTACTGGCTGGTATCTACGCTACTCACATTTTGGTGACCACTGTATCTCGTCTGGTTCGTTGTTCTCTTTCGTGTTGGGTTTCGTGACCTTTCAGAAAAAGAAACGTTTATTTCAGGACGAGCTGATTTCGTACCGTTATATTGTGGCATTTCGAATTCTCGACCTTTTCTTCATGTTCTTTGGTTTACAACAGCCCATATTTGATATCCTTGCTAGATATGGAGTTTTTGGCTGCGGAACCGTCTTACCAGCCATTGAAACGTCATTTTGTGAGTTGCACCTTTAACCTGGCTCCTGTTCGATACAAGCAAAAATAAGAGACACTCTCCTATTTATTTTTTCTCTTACCGCCAGCTCACATGGGAACATATGTGCAGGAGTAGCACTTTTGATAAGTAGTACACCGCTCGGAGTCATGTGGCGTCCTGACTAGCTTTTTGGGAAGTAAACAAAAAATAGTGGTTTCAGGTAGACAAATCCTTGAAAAAGAAGTTTAATTTCAGTCTGGAAAAACTTCTTTACCGTGATCGAGTCATTTCTGGTCACTTTGATCTCAACCGTATTGCTACAGCCTTCGAAGTCGTCCTTCTTCGATAAGCATCCCAGTTGCAGATCTATGACGTCTTCGCGAAACAGTCACACAAATGAAACACCTACTTAAATCTTTAGTACCTATATGAAAAATTCATTAATAATTGATGTAAACAATTGTTTCCTCGCAGGCTTTCTGTCTTGATGTTTGTATTAATTCAGGTTCACAGTCACATCGACAGCTTTCTTGATTTCTGTATCATTGAGTAGTTCATTTACGCTAGTCAATAGTCATTAGTTTTTCGTTTCCAGCAGTTAAGATCTGCTACAGTTGAGCATAACATCCGTCCGTCATGTATATAAGCGTGCTTTCATCCGATACCGAAGGGTGTTTTTGTGCTTGGCCACGGTAAAAGAATAAAAGGGACAACAACTTTGCTCGCAAATCTACTCCCATCCTCATAAGGCATTGTTGATGGTTGACAATGGGCACCAGAATCTGGAAACCCGCGAAATAGGCAGAATATCGGAGGACTGGTGTATACTTGGATTAGCACCGATCAGGAGAATGAGGGATCATTGAAACATTACCGCGATTCATGCTCCTAGAACCACGGTAGGGCTATGTTAGCCACATCAACATGCATCTTAATCTTTTCGCAGTTCTCCGAGTTCGCAGACTGTGAGCAATGCCCATCGCTAGCGCTACCTTCCCATCTCTGAACCCACCTAGTAGTTTTAGTAGCTACACTTGTCTTCCTTGAGAATTCGCCGTCTCCGTTACTGAATCCATGGTGCAATGGTGATAAATATGACGTGTATTGTGTAGAATAAAGATAAATTCAAAATAATTCGCAATTTCATTAACTCACAACAGTCAACACGCACAAGGACATCCAACAAAGCGAACTGCAGCTGTAACACAGGTGTGCCACCAAATTAACGAGGGAGTAAAGACCAACTGAGTAGTTGTAACTGGATAAAAAACGGAACCGACTCGTATCCAACACAAATAGATCATTTTTAAGAAGTAAATGTAAACCATAGACAAATGGAGAAGAGAATGTCTACATGCACCCCCTGTGAGTATGTAGTCGTGCTTAACGATTTCCATTTGCTCCAGCTGTACCGGATTGACCAGCGCCCGCTTGCTGTTGCTGCCAATAACTGCAATGATGAATATTTTCAAGACTGAATTACAACAGCCTCAGCACGAAGATGTTTTACCTGGCCCACTGCTGCATTACTTGTGGATTGCTGTAGTACTGCGCGTAATAGTTGTAATACTGCTGATGGGCTTGAGCAGCAGCAGCCACCGCTGCTCCACCAGGTCCACCAGTGGCAGGCGCACCGTACCCACTGCTACCAGTAGCTTGTCCTCCATAACCATAAGCACCTTGACCGTAGTTGCTGTAGCCCTGTTGGCGCTTGTCCGACTGGAAGACAGATATCAGCTTTGTGAGTGAAGAGATAAATGTAGAAACTCACATCACTTGTCTTTCCCCAGGAACAGCGGATCGTATTGCCTCCAAGATCACCACCGTTCATTTGCAGTATTGCTCGGCAAGCACAATCTTTCGAATCGAACTTGACGAACGCGTACCCTTGGACTTTGAATATGCGTACTTCAAGAATACGACCAAATCTCCCGAAAGCTTCTCGAATGTCTTCTTCTGAAATCAATGAATTGCTTGAAAAGCAGAAAGAATAAAATAGAGAAATTACAGTAGAAAGAATGTAAGAGATAAGATAAAAAAAAAACAAAGTTCAGGCTGAGGGGAAGATGCAACAAATTCCCAAGTAATGGCAAAATTACTCAAATTGCAATGGCTTCTAACAACCACAGGAAGTAGCAAGAGCTTCTGGCATTAGTGGACCCTGATACATCCAATAACCGTCTTTCTATTTAAATTCAAGGGGCTATGCTTGTCATCTCATATAACACGTAACTACAAACTCAGCAAAGATCCAAAACCTACTCTTATCTATAGACTTCTCCTGAACTGCCTCTACTAGATCTTTTTAAGAAGACTGAAACTCACCACACACTCCTCCAGCCACATTTCCCACGTACACAGAAGTGTTGTCGGGAGTGGTCATGTTGAAGATGTCATCGTAAGTCTTTTCGTTTGATGCAGGCTGATCACCACCGCCTTGACCAGGTTTGCGCGTAGCCCAGTTTGTGCGAATAGTACGACGACCAAGCCATTGGCCATTCATTTGTTCAATAGCACGCTCAGCCTCCTAAAAATCATGCATATGAAAGAGGTCTAGCGCCATACAATAAAGAGGGAAACATGATACTTACTTCTCGTTTGGGATATGAAACGAAACCGTATCCCTTCGACTTTAACGTGGTCACATCACGAATTACTTTAGCGTCACTGAAAACAGCAATTCAAGAGATAGTCCGACTTAACACGTCGAAATAGTAAACAACAGTACCTGACATCTCCAAATGGTGCGAAGGCTTCCTTCAAAGCTTTGTTATCGACTTCAGGAGAAAGATCTCCAACGAATACATGGAAGTGCTCTAAAATCACAGTGTTACAAAAAAAGAAGTATAAACAGCGTCGCCGTTGTAGCAAGCAATAGGAAGCAACACATACTGCTTGTATCGACTTTGGGTTGCTGCTGTCCTGGCTCCACTGCCCAGTTCACTTTCATTTCCTAAATGACAGCAACATTGTTAACCACGGATCAACAGTTGAAAAAAACATTGCCGAGAAAATGAAGGACAAGTATAACGTATCCACACATAAACGAACCTTATCCAACAACATTCGCCTATTCATCGTTTGTAAGGCCTGAGCAGCCATGTTGTGATCCGCAAATTCAACAAAAGCGTACGGATCATTTGTTCCCTGAAAAAACGTCACCTTAGAAACTTTGGTAGCCCTAGCGCACATGAAAACTCCATAACTTCCCCTCGCGGTTCACACTCAAAGACCTAATTTCTCAGCATCTCATGCGCGTCGCAAAAACAAGAAAAAAGATGAAAGGAAAAAGAATGAGGAAAATCATAAAGAAAGCGTATGTGGTAAATGGATACTCTTTGAGGCCGCAGTTTGCGACGAGGTCGAAACTACGCGTACGTACGTTGGTTACCCATGCAGTCGCCGCACCTGCGAAAGGGACTCATTGTGGAATGCCGGCATATGACACAGCAATCAAAAGAAATCCAAAATGGAAAACAGCAAAAGTGCGCAGAGCGCAATGCAGAAAACAAAAGATACACAGAGTTACTTACCACCATACCCATTAAATTGTAAAGAAAACAAAATAAAAGGGATACAAGGAATAGCGCCTACTTAGCTAACAATATGAAAAGGATCAGAAGTAGAATAAGCAAAGAAAAATTAATAATTGAGAACCTACTACAATATAAGAATGAGTAATAGACAAGCCATTGGTTCGCAAATTCCGGTTTCCATCAAGGCACAACATCCACGGCTGAGTGCAGAGCAATCATCAGTTCATAGGAACGAACGCAGCAAGAGCAGCTCTGGTTGGAAATGTTTGAAGCTGAAGCGCACGAAACTAATCCGAAAGAAAAAAGGTAAATTTTTCTGCAACTTTTCACAAACGTTTTTTCCCATTCCGAAAAATACAAAAGTAAAAGGGTGAACTTTGAGTAAGTAAAATCTTGTCAAATTGAAAATTCTGCATCTCACCCTTAGACAGTGAACAATGTGGACTTCTTCACCACGTTAGGCATCAGAGATTAAATGTCAATTTGATAGAAACGAACTTAGGTCGTGATTTAGAAAAATTGGAATTACGGCGCACATAAAACAAAGTGTTAAACACTGAAACGCGATTTTGGATGTCTGATGAAAAGTAGCACCCCGCATATTTTAATGCCCATTTTAAATACATTTTATCTAATATTACAGCGCAAATGTTGAAGAATGCGTTGTCGATGTAAATGAAATGAGGGAAGGCCGGTAATCACGAAACAAAGGCTTGTGAAGCAGTCAGAACAGACTGCTCTGCCAATGCGAGCACGAATGCAGCATCAGGCAAAACTGATGTTCTATGTCAGCTCAGCAATCTGAAATCTGTTTAGCGGTATACAAAGCATTAATGAAGAGAGACTCACATCAAAAATGACTTTAGTCTTCGTTACGTTTCCAATTTGACCGAACAACGTTCCAATAAACTCTTCGGTGACTGAAGGGTCCAGGTTTCCCACATAACTGCAAAATTTTGAAATCCACGATAATCACTCACAGAAAACTCAAGAAGAGAGTACTCTAACAGTGACAATGGTGAAATAATATCTTTCGGATGAGTATCGCTTATGCAAAAACATAAACACTTATTCGACCACCACTCTATACTCGATATCCAAGAGTTGGGGTAGGCGTGTCACCGGAAGTGACGTGCACTTGATAGAAGCTATGTGGATAAGCTGCTTCCAACATACATCGCTGGATATCAGCAAAGCATGCTGGCAACAGCTTATCCACGCAACTTCTATCAAGTGCACGTCACTTCCGGTGACACGCCTACCCCAACTTTCGGATATCGACTGTATAATGGATCGATGGGTTTTTTCGACAGCTCACCCTTTACCATGTGAAACAACAAATTGCAAATCGATAAGTTTGTTAGAGATACGCAATTCAGAAGCGGTGGCGTGAGAACTTATTCTGCAATAGCATTCCATTTCGCTTGGGCAACTACCAGAATTGGTTAATCATCCGTAAGGCGCACTGTCGATATTGGAATCGCGCGATTCGCTATTGCAATGGCCGATGTCAGACTCTGCGATTGGAGCGATCGTCATGTCAAATGTCAATCGCGCGACCATCGCGCGAATCGCGCGATGGTCGCGCGATTGGCATTTGACCGATCGCTCCAATCGCAGAGTCTGACATCGGCCAATTGCTAGGCGTCCGCGGTCGCGTTGCGGTACCAGCCAATTGAGTGATTCACTGGCCGCGACGCGACCGCAGACGCTAGCGAATCGCGCGATTCGCAAAGTCTGACATCGGTTTTAGATTCACTATGCAGTCCCACTGTGCCCAAAGGAAACCCAAATCCTCAAGTCCAACATCTGCTTTACGTGGCAAGAATGGAGTATAGCTGTAACAGCTAAAGCAAAAGTGAAGCCGGCATTAATATTCTACAATTTGGAGAAATTGTAGAGTATGAACGCATCCTGGGGCCTAGAGCGAATATTTCCTGTCAGAAGCTCACTCGCCGCCATCATGATGATATGCGAGCCCAGAACGAGTCTTGGTGTTCGTGTAGTCGAGGAAGGAAGCCCCTTCCGATGCAATAGCTCGTACTGACTACAACTTCAAGTTTTGAGGGACTGAGGAAGCTATATGGTTGGTGAACCGATCTGCTTCTGCAAAACGAGGGCTAGGTAAGGGTTGGTTTTCTCAAGCATTCACAATGAAGAAGAAGAGGTTTCAAATACGCTAGCGCACCAATACGCGGCAGCAGTTCACCAAACAGTCTCTGTTCACAGGATCATGGATCCATTACCACGCCCGAGCGCGTGACCGATAAGAGATGCGATCAATGCCGTGCTACCAGCATCAGTGGTGTATTCAAAGCAAAAACTGGATACTTTCTTTCGAACTTATCGTACTTGTTTGGTATACCCCTATAATCTGCTGTATGAACTATAAACGAATGCAACAACTCACAGAGTTCTTGGCTCATCGGTTCCGCCCATGTGAAATCCTTCTTTCTCAGCTACTTTTGAATGAGTACGCGGATTATATACTCCAGCATTGTCATTATCATGTTGCCCCATCATATGGTTAGGTCCATAGCCAGCGTAGCCACCGTACTGAAATGGAACACTTTACTCCAGCTTCCTCTCAGAAGACCACCACAAATGCAAACTCACCGACATCTCCGCAGGTCAAAGAAAATACTGTACCTGCAACATGAACTACATAAAGAAGATCTGATGGTTCAAAAAACAATTTGTAAAAAACAACGGAATGAATGAAAACACTATACAGCGTTGATCGGGTGATGACACACGATACCAACGTGAACTTCAATAGTGGAAAAAACTAACGCGACGCAGCTGCGCGCGCCACGGACACCTGCATATCTAGCGAAAGAGGCGCGAATTCAAAAAAATGTGTATTCACGAAATGGATTCGGATTGTGCATTCACGAAATGATTTAATGATTCATTATCGGTATTCTAATTAAATGACAATACAGGAGCACTATTCTCATTTTAGAAGGTCCATAGACAAGGGATTTCTGCGATATTGTGATGATGGTGACAATATCGTCAATGAAAGCCGGTCTTTAGGGACTTGGTAAGGATTGGAAATTTTATCGAATTCGAAGAGGTTTTTCACTTCTTGGTTTCTGTGCAAATCTAGAGACTACCTCGATGGTGGATTTTTAAGAGTTGTAAACAATGAGACTATTATGGAGTACCTCGT